TGGGGTTTTTATTTAGGAGAGGAGAAGTCAGCAAAGGGCCACCTAGATAGATGGTCAGGGGCTGAAGCTGTTGCCCTATGGGGTGAGGCTGGACAACCAGGGCTGCCTGGAGAAGAGGTGGCCTTGGATACTAAAACTGAAAGAGGAAAGACACTGGATGCCAAGGGAAACTTCCTCCCCATGCAGGCAGGCAAGCAGAGATGGCCCACAGAGTCTGTCCAGTCTCTGTCCTCAGAGGTTTTTAAGACCTGAGTGGATGAAGCCATGAGCAATATAGTCCTGTCTCAGAGCTGCTCCTGCTTTGACCTGGAGTTGGAATGAAGACTTCCTGAGCTCCCTTGCAGCATGAATTATCCTGATTTATTTGCTCTTTCTTTTGAAAGACTGTTCTGTCTAATTCAAAGTATACCAAAACTTTTAGATATTTTTTTTTCCTCTCCCAACCTCCCTGTTAAATCGCTCTGCTAATTTATTTGCTATTTTATTTCTGTATCTAATCCTACTGAATTTCATGGGACTGATTTGGTAGTTCATCAGATCATTTTCAGTTCTTACCCTATTCTGAAAAGTCCCTCGCATATGAATCCTCCTTAGAGAACCTGAGTGCTCCCTCTAGCCATGGAGCAGATCCTTGCAGATTGTCTCAGCATGTTTCAGTCCATTTGTGCCTAAATACCAATAATTATTCTTGAAACATGCATTTCAACTTCTAATGCAACCACTTTATTTTGATTCAGGCTAAGTTTGTGTACGGGGCATGTCATGTGTTGCTGCATCGGGAGACACTGTCAGTGTCCACGTCTTGCTGTGCTTCTCCTTGCTGATGATGATTTAGTAGGCCAGTTTTCTAACAGAGGAAGGAAATTTGATCTGAGATGATTCATACTGAAGAACCTCATTATAAACGTCTTGAATTTTTCTTGGCCCATAGAAGCTGTCTTGGGTAACACATGGCAGGCAGTATTACACTTTTTCTTTGTTATTCTCAATAATATAAGCATAGAT